AACCCCGACACCACAGCTTCACCTCCCACAGCCGCTCACCACACCTACAACCCTACCGGCACTTACGGCCCACTCACTCACGCACTGCGCACGCATCAGGCCCACCACCCAAATCCATACGTGACTTCACCCTACACACCACCACCGCAGCACACACCGCCACAACAGGCACCGCCATCTCAGCCGGAGTTCCCACCACCACCCCCGCCACCACTCCCTACAGCCGACCCAGTCACTCCACCACCATCGACCTACAAGCACAGCCCACCACCACCACCACCTGCCCGCGCCGGCACGGCGCCTGCTCCACCGCCACCTCACATCCCATCCCCCACCCCACCAGTCCAAGACTCTTGGAACCCCACCGACCACCACTGGGATTCCAACACCCTGCACGGCCACCAACTGTACCGTACGATCCAACCCACACAGTGGTCTCGGAAAGCAGGAGTGGCAAGGCTTCCGACCTTTGACATCTTCCCATGGCAATTGGCCTACCATGGCACCTCCGAATTCACCGCCCGCGCTCTCAGCAACGGCAAATACACGGGCTTCATTGCCACCAGAAGTATTGCAGAGTCGGTTTTCGTGACCCACCTTCTCCAAGAGCTCCGCGAGAAACGTCTCGAGACCCTCCACACCAAGCAGGGCACCGACATTCCCAGCAAAACCACACAGGCCGGAGCTTTCCACGCCCCCCTCATCAAACTACTTATCCAACAACTCCAAACTCACTCTCCGGCACCAGCGGAGGGCACCGCTCTACGCGCCCTCAAAAACACCACCGACGAGCTGGCCCGAGCACGTCAGAAGCTCCACGACTTAGGTGAACCACTCACCCCAGTGAAGAGCACCAGCCGACCCTCAGCATCGGCCGCCCCATCACATGCGCCCACCCCACCACCACCAAAGCCGCCAGCCCTTGCCGATGTCTTGCAACCCCCACACCCAACATTGCAAGATGATATCCCCGAAGGTTGGAACCACCCCGAGCTCCAACACTGGGTCACCACCTTCGACTCCACCGTCCAGGAAGCAGCCAATGAGGTCGTCCGCTTGCTACAAACGAGCAAAGTCACTACCCAGCAGCTCAAGGACGCAGCCACACGTTACGGCCTGCCGCTCAACCGGGTCAATCGTTTGCCGATCAGGAGCTTGCAACAGCTTGTGAGTGTGGGCAGCCATCGGCTGCTGACTCGCTACCCTCGCCCAGCAGCAACCCAGCCACACCAACCTCAACCACCTGTTCCACCTACACCGAGCACTCTCCATACTGATCCACCACACCCAATACATCGACCGCGCCGAAGCCATCTTTGCCACAGGCCTTATCCACATCACGCTCCTTTTCGCATATCCTTCTAACACCCGCCGCTCACAACAATGGCGCAACCGACTCCGCCAGCTCCACATCCTGCCCCACACATACCACTACCACAACTTTCTCTCCTCCAATTCAGTTTACATCAAGCTACACTTCAACCCTGACCAACCTCAACGTTGCTACCATCAACATGGCCACTTCTATGTGGGCTCCACAGCCATTGGCATTCCCCACCGCGAACACAACCGCCGGGCCAAACTCAAACAACTCCAGAACAACATCCCCATCTCTGCAGAACTCTCCCTACGTTATTGGCACTCACACAACAACATCCACCACTACACCACCATTCAACTTACATCCCACGACACATACGACCAAGCCTGGATCCAAGAGCACCACTACATCGCAAACTGGATGCCTACACTCAACTGGCCCTTTATCTCCCACCACCTCAAGCTAAAAGCTCAAGGCTGGCAGTTCACCAAACACAGAGCCCATTTCTACTCCAGATTAGCAACCCACAAACGACTCTTTCGACGCCTGCGACAACGCCAATACACACTCCGAGAATCACACCTCTACACCTCCACCAAGCATCACGCCCTCCAACTTCTCCGCAACCTTACCAAACATACAGCAGCCTCCTTTGAAGCAGCCAAAGAGCTACGAAGCGGCCGCCATACGGACCTTGAAGTCTATGCCATCCGGCGTATGGCCGCCAACCTTGAAGAACCCGGCCGCAGCAGAGCTCTTCACATCATCAACAAAGCCCTCCTCTACCGCAACCTCACGCCGCCAAAACCCAATATTCCACTCACCGTGCCATTTCTGGCCCACGACGATTTCACCAAACACTGCCAACAATGGCTCCGAACCACCATTCAGCAGCACAAGCATTTGACCATTCCCCTCCATCTCCCCTCCCACCGACTGCGCGAGGCCGCACACAAAACACTACGTTCTCACCTACACAACCACCGCGCATGGGAAGACGCCCTCCACTCCCCGCCAGACCCCGCCGACCTCCCCTGCGCCTGTGGCCACCTTCGCACCCTCCTGCAAAATCCTGACACCCCCACCATCAACGGCCACTACATTCTTACACTTGATCAACTCCAACTCCCTACACATTTCGGCATTTTTCTCAACGCCAACATGAACAGCACCTACTACCCAAGCAAGGCCCGATATTTCCTCACGTTCCGGACGGCCTACACGAAATGGCTCAAGCTACAAGGGCTCCCACCATCCCTCGTCCAACACTTGCAGCCATTCCTTGAGCACCAGTGGCGCCTCCACAACATGCACCTCAAGCAGCAACCCCGTTTTACCGCTCGTTTGCTTCGCCAACTCCAAGAATACCTCGGCCAACACACATTGCTCCACCATGCTGCTCATGAACTACAACAACTCCGGCTTTTCTGCCCTCGCCAATATTTCACTGGCGCCTTGAATACCTGGCAATCCCCCGAACTTTTCGAACCACTTCCCCACCTCACTGCCGCCAACATTCACGACCACCTGGCAGCCACTGTTCCCCCCCATTTTGCGCACCCGCTACAAATGGGGCTTCCGCAAAGATTTCAACATTCCCTACGGCGTCGTCCACCTCAAAGAAAAGAAGCACTGGCAGAAAGGCCGCACCATTATCTCATACTTCCAATCACTCAGTGGCAACCTCCTCCGCATCACCAGCCGTGCCCTTGACATTATCCTACAACACCTTTACCGCCAACATCCCGGCCAAATGTCCATTCCCCAACTTTGGCGCCATTTTCACAGCTACCTCACTCAAACCCCACCAGACATCTCACTACACGCCACCAACGATGACCTGGTCGGATTCTTTAACTCGGTCCCACAACACCGACTCATCGATGCTGTTCACTCTCTCATCCAACACTGGCAACAACAGCAATCCACACACACCCTGACGGTGGATGTCCAGGCTACCGGCAACCCTTTTCACCACTCACACATTGGCAGACTCCATCGAAAACACCCTACACAACACACTATCCAGACCTCATCAATTCTATCGTGGCATTTGCCCTCAACACATGCATTTTCCGGGCTTGCAACAACACCTACAAACAAATCCGAGGAGCTGGGATTGGCTCCCAGCTCTCTCCAGCCCTTTGCAATGTCGCCATCACCCTCATCGAACACTCCTGGCATCAGATACACAACAACCTACTTCAACACACAGACCTACACTTCACGTACTACAGATATGTCGACAACCGCTTCATTGTCCACAACAAACATTTCCTTCACCATCCAGCCATTCAAACCCTCATCCACCACAACTTCTTTGGCGACCCAGTGGAACTTGAACCGGTAGAGGATTTCCATCTCCTCGGTTTCAACATTGACCTCCCACAACGCACCATCACATACATGCAACCTTCCCAACCCTGGAAAATCAGGGATTCCACCACCGCCGGGAGCCAGCGCTTGGCTCTATCAGGCCTCCAATCAAGACTCCACACCATTCGAAAATACACATCCTCCAGCGCTGAAGCTGCTGCTGCCGAGCTAGTGAGGCTTTATGTCCAAAAAGGACACAACCACCACGCCTGCCACCGTTTTTTGAAAAAAGCGCCGACAACGGCGACCTGTGTGTGTCCACCCCTGGACAAAGGGTCTTCCACCGCCACTCTTTTCACCGTTTTTCCACCACTTTCCACACGCAGGGGGATGGAGAGGACACGTGAGGCTCCATCCAACGAAGCTCCTCACGTGCTCCTAGGATATCATCAGGGACGCCTGATGACGTACCTGCGCCGTGACACTACTCCACTCTTCCTTGCTGTGTTTTGATGCCATGGTTGTTTGACCACGATACTCTCCCCTCAAACAGGTTTCCCACCGCAGTCCTCAGCCACCGGAGAGTTACAGTCAGCCGCTTGTGCCTTGCAGCTAGCCGCGCGAGTGAAACTTTTTTCAACAATTCAAGTCTTTGGACCTTTTCACCTTGCTGTTCCATCACCTTCCTTCCCAACGTGGTAACTGAGTCACTGAATACAAGTGTCAGAGTGTGTGACAAACCTCAAGGGGGGAGTCAAAGCCAGGCTATAAGCAAGTTTTGCAGCAAAACACAAAACTCCACACGAAGTGAACCTCAGGTCTTGCCTGGTACAGCAGGAGCTCACCCTTCCGGCGGAAGTACTTGAAGTTTCTTTGTCGCAGCCTCGCTTCCAAGCGGCCAAAGTTGAGCAAGGATTTTAAAGATGGAATCTCAGTTCTTTTTAAAAACAAATCACGAAATCCATTTTGATCTGAATGGGACTACATGGGACCTACGTGGGACAGTTTCAGGGCCATTGGTGGCCCATGCCATTCAACTCTCAGGGTTGAGGTTGGACAGGGATCGTGTAATCTTCACAGGCCATTGCAGGGGTTGAAAAATATGAAAAGAAATTGCTTTTTTCCGGGTTTTGCCTTTCCAGAGTTGCTGGATGTTGCCGCTACGGCTTGAAACCAAGATGCTGATCAAAGCTGGGACCTTCTTCAGTGATATCCTTGGGCGTCGAGCGTCTTGCAGCGTGTGTTCTGCGCTCCGTTCCGTTTAATAAAAAATGAAAAGTGTGAGCTGCTATTCATACAACCGTTATTGCAAACAGTGTGTGCAGGGAAGGAAGCTTCGTCGTTTCAACATGTGGTTGTTTCCCTAAAGCGGCGTCCAAGGATCAATGCCCGGTAAGTCGTAATTCTTGGCAAACTTTGCTGGGTCCAAAAGGTAGAACTCGTGGTCGGCTGATTCCTTGCAAAGTGGTCGCAATAAACTTTGCATGAAGAGACTCTTCAGCCAAGAGGTGTGCCTTTAGACATATTTCACACACGGTCCCGTTAGGCATCTTTAGACATGCCCTTGGCTACCCTGAGCATGAATCACATTGACGAAGGGCTGTGTTCAATCGTTCACTGTAACAAAGACACTGTTTGAAAGCACTTAGACATGTGAAAGAAGGTACAGAACAAAACAGACCAGGATTGAAGGTATTTGAGGCAGAGCTGATATACATTCAACTGTTAGTGCTGAAAGTACCATGCGATACGCACAATCATGAATGATCATGAATGCTATTGTTAAATAAATTGGTTGTGTGTTCCATAGTTTGACTCCCTTTCCCCAACCCACAGCTCTGGCATGATTGAGACCAGTGTGGTTCTTTACATGTGTGACAAGAGCAGTAGGTCATTTAACCTGTTCCACCATGTTCCACCTTGGTCCGGCTTTTGCTGCCCCGTCCTGGCGAATGACCATGCTGCCACTGTGTGTGGCGTTTGTCCTCCGGATTTGCTTTTCAAAACACACATCCGAAGGCGATCCAGTCAAACAGAAACTCAATGACTGGCCACTCCCCATCTGCATCAGGAATCTAACAACTCTTCAGTAGCATTGCAATGCATGGCATAGCATAGCACCAAAAAATGTTAGTTTTCACCAGCCTTGCCACGACCTCGCCGTTCACGATCGTCAACACCTCCTCATTGGGTCGCGCCGGCCTCTCAGCTGCCAACTTGCAGTGCACAGGGAAGTGGAAAACCCCTGCTTGTGGAGGAATTCAATGATTTACGTATATTATAGTTCAGGGAGTGTACCTCTTATATGCGATAGTGCATACAAAAATTGGAGCTGGCAGCTAAAAGGCATGCGGTGCGCCACCGTGAATATGGTTCGATTCATTCATCTAGTTGACTGCAAAAGATGTTGTGACCTCCAGTATCCGAAGTCGCGAGTCTATTTACCAAAAGGCACCGAGCAATCTTGCCCTGCCCTTGTTGCCTTGCCAAGCGCATGCCATTCTTCTTGATCCTGGTGCCTTTGTCCCGAAGGATTGGCAGAAAGTGCCTTGGAAGGCGCTTTCCAACTCATTGAACTCACCAGGTGACTATTTTGTCTGAAGTAGCCACGACCATCCGTCTTTCACCCTCGAATCCAACACCATCTGTCACCGTCAGAAATAATGGACCGAATAATCCAGAAGCTTTCTCCCGCTAAGTCATATCTTAAGTCCCCCTAAAAATCTAGAAACCAAATCATTAGTGCGAGCGCTTCTTCAAGCAAGCTCCCCCGCCGCCCTAAAGCTTCCTTGACGAAGCGTGAGCTATCCTGCGTCCTAAGTGGTAGCTTACTTGTAGGTACTAGCTACCCCAATTCCTTAATTAAGTAGGCGCCTACTTCATTAAGTAGGGAGGGGGGAGCGGGCTAAATATGTGTATGTATAATATATATATATATATATGTGTGTGTGTGAAATGAACAAAACCCCAAAGCACTGCAGAATTTCAAGTGACCTGCACATCTCCTCCTGAGTGCGGACGGCCATGTCAACCTGCCAGGAACAGAAAACCAGCAATGCCCTCATATTGAAAAAACACTACTATATACTAGTTTTAATGCGGGAGGGTTTCTGATTGGACTTGTCTGTCATTGCAATGCTGCATACCTCCTGTTTTTCTCCCCTTCCCGCTCTTCACCTCAAAAGCAAGTACTTTGTTGAGGCGCCTGCTCGTCCACTTCGTTTCCATGTCTGCTATGTTGAAGTAGATGTGTTCGTTAGTAGAGGCTCGTTGAGACCACTTCAAAATGTTTCCGCACCGTTCAATCTTCCAACTCTTTGGTCTTTCGGGCTTGGGCCACTCCGCCAGGAATGGCTCCGTCAAATGGTCTGTCAATTTCAGTCAATAGTTCGATGCTCTTGATTCTCACCCAAACAACAGTGAGGCATTAGCAGCTTGACCGTTTAGCAGCTTGACCATTGATACCATTCAATCTGTTCTAGGTCTAGGCGCTGCTGCCTTCTCAAATGTGCAGTATTGTGAGCCAAAGATTGAATATGCCATGCTGCTGGCTGCATCAGGAGAGCAAACAACATGCCAAACGCAATAGAACGCAAAAATGTTCTGTCATTTAAATTCTGAAACGTCAAATAATTACTGTCAAACCGATATTGCCATGGATCACGATGAATGGCTGGCCAAGAGTTGAAGGCACAGGAGGTGGAACCTGTCTGACCTTCTCCTCTCTGTTGAGGCCTTGTTCTATCTTCGCGATCTGTGCCTCAGGCAGGTCTCATGTAGATCGTGCTCTCCTTTGTGGCCGTCTTAAGCCTTGTCTGAAGGTTAAAGCTTCGAAAAGTCCATGTCCTGTGTCCCCACTGAGACTTTAATGAGTAGTCGACCCTGAGACCTTGCACAAACATCTGCCCAAAATATCCCAAAATCATCTGATGCTCCCGATTCGACGCCTTAACTGGCACGAGGATCTCAGCATAGTGCCGGATGCGGTCTTGCCGCTCCTTGGTAAAGCAAACTGTGACCGTGACCATCCGTGACCGCCAAGACATTCCTCTGGGCTTCTGGGAGATTTCTAAGCAGCATCTGGTAAACCGTGACCCAAAGAGTAGAAGTTGCAGACCATGGTTGCAAACTAGCGGGTCATTCATAAAGCACTTGTATGAGCAAGAGCCATACATGTGTGATTTATTGTTAGACATGAGAAATAGTTGTCGGGAATTGTTCACGCGTTCACGCCTGACAAAGCACTCCAAAGATAGGTCTTGTTGGGGCGGGGGTACTGCAGGCATGTAATGTACATGGTGTGTATGTGTGGATATAGATATATACATATATACTATATACAGTATACATAGAAAGATATAGAAAGTAATCCCTGCCAGCGAAGCCTTGGATTGGGATACATCAACAAATATCGTTGCAAATTACTTTGGACGCAAATCCACGTATTCCTTCGACACCCGCTCCTCCTCAATGCCATTCCGCAAGACTCGGCCTCGCGCTTCTAGCCTCAGAGCCACTTGCCGTGTAACACAAGTTAAGTTTCCCTAAAAATCTAGGAACCAAATCATTTGTGCGAGCGCTTCTTCAAGGAAGATCCCCCCACTGTCGGGCGGGGGGGGGAGCTTCCTTAACGAAGTGTGAGCTATCCTGCGTCCAATAACTAAAAGCTGAAGTATTGCTATAGGCTATTAGCTTGTTTTCTCCTTTTTGAATTAAGTAGGCGCCTACTTAATTAAGTAGGAGCGGGCTATAAAAGGATTTGGTAACCTTCAAGATTCAAAAAGGTCTTAGGAGGTCATGGAATCTCATGACTCGGCACGACGGCTGGCGACTTTCTCGGGCTCCTGGCGCAGCGATTCGAGGAGTGATACGTTCCACCTGCACCCGCAGTTCACCTCAAGAGGAAGGCGATCTGCCGGATTAAGCTACAAGTAGCGTCCTTGCTAGTAGTAACAAGGGCATCGCTACTAGTAACAAGGGCATTACTACTAGTAGCAAATAGCTACTAGTAGCGTCCTAGTAGCGATGCCCTTGCTCCTAGTAGCGATGCCCGTTGTTCCTAGTAGCTTCTTGCTCCTAGTACTAAGTACAGCAATATCAGAGAAGTCGCAACCCATGACAAAACAGAGGCAAATGAGTTTGAAGCAAGAGTAAGGTTATGGCACAAACTTTGTCATGGTGCCGTCCAAGGTGTCCATGGTTTGTCTGACAAATAACACCACTATAGAATTGCGAAAACCAGGCAAGCGAGTACCTACCCACAATGTTTGGGCCACTACAAGCAAAGACAATGTCACATCTGCCAAGCCACTGAACAATGCTGTGAAGGTGTCATCTAGCTCCTTTCTGAACCTAAGCTGGCGCATTTTCTGAGCATGATTGTGTCCCATGACAAATTTCATGATTGGTCTGATTTGCTGAGGATGAATCTTTTGCATGAATTCCTCAATGTAGGCTTTCAATTCTTTCATGGCTTGGTCCAGCTCTTCCTGGGCAGTCGAACTGTCATGGGGTGCGTCAAAACTTGGTGCCCAAGGTGTCCACAACTTCTTCTAGGGGTTGTTTGGGGTTCACGCACCAAAGAACAGGCAAAGTAGATCTAGTGTTCAAAGCTGAGCAACCTGCTGAACATAGAGGACAAAAATGAAAAAGGGCCTCTTGCGCCTCGTGCATTAGAATGGATTGAAAACTCACTCGAGACTAAATCAGACTCTCTGGACTCTCTCCATCTCCATCCTCTATCTCATCAATGCGCTTCATCTGCTCCCCATGGAGCTCATCCATCAAGTGGCCTTGCTCGTATTTCCGAGACTTCGTTGTTATCTCATTGATTCATGCAGGTGACGGAAACGCAAGTTTGCATCTTGTCAGCTATTCCGGGGGTTCTCCATCTGCGCCATCCTTTCTCTATGTGCTTGATCCCCACAATCCTCAAAGCAGCGGGCTTCACTTTGAGTTTCATACGCTGCTCCTGTCGTGCTCGAGTCTCCTCCTCAAAGACACCTCGCAGCTGGACTAGAAGCACATGTGTTCAATAGTGATGTAGAGGGTCGTTCGGAAAAATGCTGACTGTCACAGCATTGTGGTCATTGTTTGTCATGAATTTTGCCATGAAAGAAACAACAAATATAATAAGCTACTAGGAACAAGTGCATCGCTTCTAGTAACAAGTGCCTTACTAGTAGTAACAAGAAGCTAGTAGAAACAAGAATTGGTCTATTTTTTATTTAGCAAATCAAGCGTGGCCTTTTCAACTTAGTCAAGGAAAGTCTGTGCCGTCGTACCGGACTCACCCCCTACTTGTGAAGTGGGATACTCATGCCCTTTATGCACCTTCTATGGGATACTGTCAAGTGAGTCAAGTGGGAACGCTCGAGCTACAGTGATCTGGTCATTCTCTAGGCGGAATCAACCAAAAACCAAACAGAGTTTGGTCTCAAGGCTCAAAAGCTCCACTCCTGCCATGCGGTCTACCCGGCTCGCCAATGATCTCAGCTTCCTGGAGAGGAGCTGAGTCACACAAAATTGGTTTGCAATTACTCATGTCATTCATGTGCTAAATAAATGTGCTCTCTAAGTGCAAACAAACTCACATAAAGCTGGGGTGAGAGGGAGAGAGCATGACTGCTGATGAAGTGCCAAGCTGGCTCCAGCTTTGCCCTGACTGCCCTGAAGTGTCCTTTTCTGCTCATGCATCTTGTCATCAGGTTCATCCCAAATCGTTTCTATCTGCCTCAGAAATGCGGCCTGTCCCTTTGCACTGCCCACCGAATCAGCTTGTTACTTTCGAGATCTTTTGACAATCAATCCTCACTGAATTATGCCTGCGAATCAGCAAGTCAAAGCCTGCTTGTCCAAAGCATGAGGCTCTGGCTTAAGCATAGTTACCTTCTTGCTCGACGGCATCGTCTTGTTGCCTGAGGCTTCAAAGGTGGTGCGCTCTTCCTTGGAATGGATCGTCTCCTAGTTCTTGACTTGATGAAGTGGAAACGCTTTGAACAATAGCAAACTGGAAGGCTGTAGCTATGGCATGACGTTCCTGAGGACTCTCTGAATGTGGATGTTCTTTGTCACCAAGTATCATGAGTCCTGTAAGCAAAGACAAGAATTCCACCTGTTCTTCTTGAAGGGTGCTGCTCAAGATCTTTCAGCTATTATGCTGTGCTGCAACTTGGGGGCAAAATGTAGGCCTCTCAAAAAGAGCGGATAAAGACTAGATTTGATAGGTCTCGGGATAGATTGAGGCTACACTGGCCTTTCAAGAACTTGACATCGAGCACTTGTTTAAGGCAACGCCGCCGTTAGCTGCTGTGGGGATGTTGCTATACTTGTTGTCAATGTTTAGGTTCAAATGGGTGTTGGATTCCTTTTGGGGTGGGTTTTCGGGGTGTCACTTGTTCTATTTTTTGGGGGGGGGGGTTTGGGTCGCCAGGTTGCTTTTAGGGGTGGTTTGCGGGTTTCCAGTCAGGTACACAGGCGCTGGATTCCTTGTGGAGACGACTCAAAGAATTCATACCAAAAGAACTGGCCACAAAAGATGTCAAGAGTCGTCTAGTGAATCCAGATACAGTAACTGGGTTTTTGCGTGGCAGTGGCGGCGCAATGCCCGGATCCGCTGTCAGAACCTTTGGGCAGCAGTCCCTGAACTCTTCCGTTGACCAGCGTGTGCAAAATACCCACAGCCGCAAACTACGGCGGCGTTCCCTTGATTGTTTAAGCCCGCATCAACTGCATCAACCTCGCTGACAAACCTCAAGCGATCACAGTGAAGCAAAATCAAATTGTCATCCTTCGCAGCTTCTTCGCCTGGTTTCATGGTGGCGTTGTTCACATAGCCACCTGTCCAAAGACGTAACTATATACATATATAAAATATAAAAATATATATGTATGCATCTATATATATAGAGAGAGAGATAGATACAAACACATATATACTAGTACATATATACATATATGTATATAGCCCTAGAAATTGAACTTATGCAAAACAATCGTTGCAGGACCTGCAATATCAAAGCCAAACGATGCCTAATCCATACAGTAAAGCTTTCAAAAGTGCCTGTGTCGTTCAGCGTGGCACATGCTGCCGCTTTTAGGGCAGTGGCAGACTGGGTGGCCTGCGAGCAGCAGCAGCAGGTTGTATTGACTCACAGTAGCATTAGAATTGTCTATGCCTCTACGCTACATGTCATCAATATAGGCATCCATCAACTTTGCAGGGAAAATGAGTCAAAGCAATTTGCTGTAGCTGCGAGAGACTTGTTGTGTTCTTCGGAGCTTCAGCTTGCGGCAGTGGAAAACTGACTACAAAACTGTTGAAAGGGGGCTGCAAGTTTGTACAATCCCACAGACAGAGGCGAGAAACAAGCTGCTCAAACGCCTTTCCACTTGGACTTGTGTGTGTGGCTAGTTTGTGAAGACTGGGAAAAGCAACCCGCTGGCTGGTCTAACTACAGGATCGCGCTCGCCAAGACGTGCCAGTCCCTTCGCGACCTGCCTTCAAAGGACTCTGAGGAGCTGGCATTGCTTGAACAGTCTTGCCACAAAGCTGTGAACAGCAAGAGTTGAATTTGGATCTGAGCGATTGAAGCAGTAAGAAGGATTCGTGTGAGAAAGCTACTTCCCGCAGTATCCTGGAGAGCACCTACAAAAAGAAACAACTGAAAAGAATCCCTTCGGCCATGCTCCTGTAAATACTGCAAGGAAACGCATGAAACCTCTGCTTTGGACCAACTAGGCCTATCTACATTTGGCTCTAAGTACAGTAATTGAGCCAGAAGAAAGAAGGCGGGCAAGGCGGGCAAAATCCAGAAGTCATTCTCGCGCAAATTCCGCAACAAGAAGGAATATATATATATGGTCATATAATCATATGTGTGCATATATACCTGAGAAGGAGAGGACGAAAGCAGGCGAGAGACCAATATGGTAGTGCAAGACTGGGTGGAAAAAATAGCGGAGCACTTATTGTTGAATGCCTTAGCTTTCGTGGAGCTTGTATCAACATGGAGTAGATCAAGATCGGAGCACAGCATGAAGTGTTGAATGTTTTAGGTTTTCTCGATTTTCCTGGCGCGGTGCTCTCCGGAGAGTCCCTTTTTGGTGGTCTATTTGAGAATCCGTGTAAAAATAAACGTCAGTGAAGACCAGGAGAAGGATGCCCGAAAGGTTGGTTTTGGTTGTTTTCATGTGTGCTTCGGGCATCGTGCATCAATGCGAAGCCCTATACAGAGCAGGGCTGGGAGAAAAAAGAAGAGGAGAGCACTCATTCTTGAATGGTTGTAGTTTTCGTGGAGCCGGTATCACTGCGACGTAGATGAAGATGGGAGCACAGCATGAAGTGTTGAATGTTTTTAGTCTTCTTGATTTGCTTGGTGCGGCACCTTCTGGAGCGTCCCTTGTTGGTGTTCTATTTGAGAATCCGTGCAAAAATAAACGTCGGTGAACACCAGGAGAATGATGCCCGAAAATGGTTTTTTGTGGTTGTGTTGAAATGTGTTTCGGGTTTCGTGCATCAATGCGAAGCCCTATAGAGAGCAGGGCTGGGAGGAAAAAATAGCAGAGCGCCTATAGTTGAAAGCTTGTAGTTTCGTGGAGCTGGTATCACTGCGACTGAGATCAAGATCGGAGCACAGCATGCAGTGTTGAACGCTTGCAGCTTTCTTGCTTCTCCTCTTGCGGCGCTCTTATCCCCAAGCCTCTACCTCACCCAACTGGACATACTCACTCTTTGTTGCTTGGTCCTTCTTGGTATGATCCGAGCTACACAGTCCCTATGCCCTGCTCAGGACTAGAAAAATTGTCTCCAGACCCCTTCATGATGCTAATGATGCACTACTCGGCGTCCATTGCATCACTCGCATCACCAGACCCCATTTTCACTGCGTTTCTGACCGTAGCTTTGGAGCGCTCTCGCCAGGTAAGCCACGGGTTCACCCTCTCAAAAGGTGCCTTTTCGCGCCCTCCCACCCCCCCACCCCCTTAACTCACTTCGTTCGCTCTAAGAGCTCAAGCCTAGCCTATCGGCTGGCTTTCGTAATATACATATTAGCCTCCCTTGGTATATACCTGAGAAGGGGGGGGAACGAAAGCCAGCAGCCGCCAGACGAGAGAGTCAAAAGAAGAAACCATCTAAGTAACACATGCTTACTAGGACGATGGCAGGCACTGTATGCTTCAACATGAGTGTCACCAAGCGTCATCCTAAAATATTGCATAGGTCCGTGGCTATAACAAGTTCTTAAACAACACCAATCTCTTCACCCCACGAAGTTGCTATCTACACGGGCCCCTTTTCTGATAGCAACTTGTCGCTGCCATTCGCTGCCAACCAACTACTAGACTATACTTGCCCCAATACATCCAACCAGACTTCTCTGAAAGGATGACTAGGAGGATGGCAGGAACTATATGCCTCAGCATTGGTGTCACCAACCGTCATCCAAAAATATTCCACAGATCCGTGACTATAACCCATCCTCAAACAGCAATCTCTTCACCCCACCAAGTTGCTATCTACACGGGCCCCTTTTCTGATAGGCACTCGTCGCTGCCAACCAACTACCATACTGGCCCCAATACATCCAACCAGACTTCTCAAGTATAGTAGAGACTAGGAGTGCTCAATGCCCATTGTCCAAATAGCCTCCACAGCCCTTCGTGATGCTAATGATGCACTACTCGGCGTCCATTGCATCACTCGCATCACCAGACCCCATTTTCACTGCTTTTCTGACCGTAGCTTTGGAGCGCTCTCGCTAAGCTCCGGGTTCACCCTCTCAAATGGTGCCTTTTCGCCTCCTACCCCCCCGCCACACCCCCTTAACTCACTTCGTTCGGTCTAAAAGCTCAAGCCTAGCCTATCGGCTGGCTTTCGGAATTTAGCTTTAGATATTCTCGTTCGGGGTGATGGGGTGATGGAGTGGTTGGTGAGCATCTGAAACTGATTTCCATGCGAATCCTGCTTTGTATCACATTCCGGTCAATGTCGGGACCAATGTTTTCCTTCTGAAGTTCAATCTTGTTGAGAACAGTGCTGAGTTGCTGACAACAATCGCGGCACAGGCTTTCGGTAACTTGGCCTACGAAGATCACCAGCCCCAAGATCAAAGGATGCGTCGCAGCCAATCCTTCGATGTACCTGGCGGTGGAACCAGCACATGCAAGTGGTCCGAGTTTCCCACAACAAATCGATTGATGAAACCTCTGACTTGGGCCTTACGGCTTCTTATAAAAAGACATGTATGGCTCTGCAAATCAGTAGGGATCAAGCTCTTGCACTTGTCTGAGCAAAGGATGGGCACTGGTCAGAGCCCTTCATTGGAACATGTCCAGCCAAAACAACATGTCTTGCAGTAGCACCATGCCATGTTTTTCCGATGAAGTCAAAGATGTGCTGATCTTCTTTGGTCAAACACATCATTCTATTCCGGGCTTGTCACAAAGTGGCTCTTCCGCGTCGAATCTTGGCAGTTCCTGTGTCTATCTAAGTGCGACCTTCGACTCAATGATGTATTGCCGCGGAGGATCAGAAAATCAGGTTGAAAACCTAACTAGATTTGCTGGTGGAAGGTGAGCTGAGCAATGCAGACATCTCTCTGAGCATTTGATTTTTCTTCACGAATCAACCTCACCTCTGAAATCTGGCAGATTCTGGTACTAATCATCATTCCCTGCTTCAGGCTCATGAGCCATGGTCGTACGCTCTTCATTCAAAGACGTGCTTCCAGTACCCGGTGCCCATCCCCAAGCAACGGCACACAATGATTAATTTGAGCATGAGAGTCCTGTGACGATCAAAGAGCACCTTGTGACAAACAATGCACTTTTGCAAGCCTATGGCTGATCCGTGCAAAAAAATGCAAACTGCTCCGCCAAAAAACTTGGCGAAAGCGGGGAAAAAGGAAAGCTTTCAGCCACTCACTCCTCGTCAACGCCTGTGCAACTCAGGAGCACGTGTGAAACGGGTTTGTAACGCAAAATCAGGACTTCCAACCGGTCGTGTTGTGTCTGGTGTCGGGACACAAAGAGCAGAAATGGTGTTTTCCTGCCTTCCAAGATCGGAGGACTCTGCGCCTGCAGCTGTGTGGACAGTGTGGGTGTTACACCGACTTCGCTTTCTCAGTCTCACCGACTTCGCTTGATCGCCGTCTGTCAACGGCATTTTCGTTATATATTGGTTTCGGTGTGTTCTTTTTTTGGAACCTCAAGTGTGTTCGACATGTCGACGGCGCAGTCACGAGATTGACCACTTTGACATTGAGTGGAAATTGGAAATCCACCAAAACACATTGATTATGAAGCGTGACTTGTGGTTCGGACATTTGACCAGCTCTTCAGCTGCATTCGGCTTGAGTGCATAGATTCATGCCACAGTGGACATTGATACAGAATGATATCATATATATATATACCTGGAACCCATTTGACCTCTGTTTTGATAGGAAAAGACCATATTTTGGGTGGTTGGTGGTCCAAAATAGAGGTCATTCAGGTTCTAGGTATACAGTGCAATTTGCACTGCCTCGATTGTCACAGAGATTGATAAATGTTCAATCCACCACCCCATTCTTAACGATCAGTTACGCTCAACAGAATAACACGGACCATCTATCAGTTTTGCAAATCCTTGCCTCTTCAGCTCTGCCAAACCCAGCGGCTTTGCTTCGTCTGTTGTCCTGATGAAAAGCTCTTCTTGTCTTTTGGTGGTAGCAAAGAAACAGCGATCAGTCGTACGGCCGCATGGGCACTAGTTTCAGCTACAGTATCGGCCATCTCTGTCTGTGAGCAAGTGAATGGAAAATAAGCATGTGGGGCGATCCCTGAACATTAAAACAGCTTGGTCTTGTACTATGAGTAAGGTGCTTGGAGCGAGACTTGTAGCTCTGATGTGGAATTCACGCAATCTGCACACTCCAATTCTGTGTGTAGTCTTGATAATTCTTCCATATAATTCCTCTACTTCTGAAAAGCACATATTCCATACTCCAGGAATCAAGTCGAGGGATCGACTTGGTCCTTAGAGTAACTTCGAGAACATGGAGCAACGGTGAGGAATCAAGACTGGCCGTCCTTTCGCTTCCGCCGCACGTCGGTCAAACCTAAAGGTGCATGTTCAGCACAGGCCGAGTCTAACCCACTGCCGAGACCAATTGCTGATTTATGTCTTGCTTCCTTCAAGCCAAACTTCCAAACATTTCTGAAACACAATCCGCTTATAAAATCTTTAGAAAATCTATTCAGTTTTGAGGTATGTTCAAATTGAATCTGTCGGAAATCCTCTTTGATGAATCAGCGGACCCCACCAACTACCCTTCCTCCGAGCAGCTCTGACTTTGAGTTCTCAACCGATGCTCTCCGACAAACACCTTGATAGTAACAAAGGGCATCCCTACTAGGAACAAGGGCATCGCTATAGCTACTAGTAGTAATGCCCTTGTTACTACTAGCAAGGACGCTATTAGATTCAGATCAAGTGGACATGTCGACTCTGTGGACCCGCAGGCGGAGTTTCGTGGGATTGAGACATCTGCGAGAAGGAATACAACAGATAGATAGG